ACTGATTTCAGGAGTTTTCTTTTGTCAGTTATTTCAGATTTTTTACAGACAATTGTGTCATCTCAGAACAAAGACAGTATTATTTCTTCCTTTCCAGTTTGTGTACTTTTTGTTTCCTTTTCTTGCCTTATTGCATTAGCAAGAACTTCTAGTGTGCTGTTGAAAAAGAATGGTGAGAGAAGACATCCTTGTCATGTACTTGACCTTAGTGGGACAGCTTTGAGTTTCTCATCATTAAGTATGATGTTAGCTATAGATTTTTCTAGATAGTTAAAGAAATTATCCTCTATACCTGGTTTGCTGAGAGTTTTTAATCATGAATGGGTGTTGGATTTTATCAAATGCTTTTCCTATATTTTTCTATTGCTGTGTCATGTGATTTTTCTTTTTTAGACTGTTTCATTTCAGGGTGCAAAGCCACTCTTCTAATTACTGGTTGATGCCTAAGATACTTGAGTTTTTAAGTTAACCTTAGGTTAAAATGCAAATTTCCTCCTGAAGAGGTTGTAGGCAGTCACATTTCCACATCATTAGAGCGCAGAAAGGATAGCCTGAGGGTTCTAAAGACAACTTCACCTCACAATTTTGCCAACAGTCAGCTTTGAATTAAATTTAATGTTTTCTGATGGATACTGGATTTGATCTTCTTCTCCATCCTCACCTCAACTGATGATCATGCTTTGTATTTTACTGGGCAATTAAAGCAGGCGGAGGAGAAATTCTCCAACCCCCCCACCACTATGTCTTCCTGCATCTGCACCTTTTGAGATAAACTGTCCATGCCTCCGGTCAGTTCAAATTCTTCCATCATGCCCTTGATTCTGTCCCCTCTTGCCTCCTTAAAGACATTGCTAGCAATTCTACTCTCTTTCTCTCCACCATAAACTTCCCCTTCACTGTTGGATATCCTCTATCGGAAGCTGTCATTTTTCCCATAAATGAAATAACCCACTTGTGACTCATTTGTACCTCCAACTTCGGCCCTATAGAGTTGTCTGGACCTAACGTTTTGGCTTTTTCCTGAAATTTTCTTTTCAACCTACTCCAGTAAGGCTTCTGCCCTAAGCCTCACTAAAACTTTTCTTGTTAAAGTCACCCATGACCTCATAGTGCTTACTTCCTCCTCCTTAGAAACCTTTCCTACTTGGCTTCCGGATACTATTCTGTTCTGGTTTTTACCCCTGGCTCTTGTTTAATTTCTTTTGCTCACATCTCTCCATCACTCAGACTGTAGGCATTTGTATGCCTAGGGTTTGGTTCCTGGAGCTGTTTCTCTCTCTGGCTGTCTCTCTTTCTCTCTTTCTTGTTCTGTCTCTCTATGTCATCTGTTCTCACATTTTTTTAATGCACTGTTCTAATCTCATGGCTTTAAATGCCATTTATATGCTAATACTTTCCAACTTTTCTTTCTCAGTTCTTTTCTATTCCCTGAACTCAAGATACATATACTCAACTGCCTGCTGACACCACCCCTTGGAAGTCTGTAAGCTTCTTAAAATTGAGTCCAAAACTAAGCTCCTACTCTCTTAAGCCACCTCCCTCCCCTCGCCTCATCCTGTTTGACTGCAGCTCCAGTTTTCTTGTTGCTCTGGCCAAAACCCATAAACTTCATCCATGCCTCCTCTCCTTCCCTTATAGCCCACTTTTCAAGCCATCAACAGATCATGCTGACTGTCCCTTTAAAATTGTATCCAGAAGCCTGTAGCTTCTTACCACTTCCGTTGCTGTTGCTCTTGTGTGAACCACTAGTGGCTCATCCTGGGTGCAATAGACTCCTGCCCCCTCACCCTTGCCGTCTCTTCTCCATGCAGCAGGCAAAGAGATCTTTCAAACAAGTGACTCAGAACTCTACAGTGGCTTTCTGTCTCACCAAGAGTAAAAGCCAAAGTCCTTTCAAGGCCCTGCATGATTTAGATGCCCTCTGTTCCCCTCAGTGGCCTCTTCAGTCATCTCTTCCTGCTCACTCTCTCACATCCAGCCACACTGGCTCCTCACTGTTCCCTGACCACACCAGGCAGATTTCTGCTCCATCGTACTTGGTGTTTTATCTGCCTGGAATGTTCCTCCCCTCCATATCTGTATGGCTCGCCTTCTTGCTGACTTCAGGTTTTTACTCAAATATTTTATAGAGACTCCTTTTCTAACAATGCAACTATTCCACACCCCTTCCAAATTTCCTGTCCCCCTCCCTGAATTATTTTTCTTACTGGCAATTTTCATTATCTACAATCATCTGTATTTCACTTATGTATTCTACACCCCCGACTACAATTTAAATTTCACAAAGGCAACATTTTTTGTTTAGCAGCAACTTCTCACTTCCTCCATCTCCTTACAGATCAGACTTACATTTAATTAATTAATTAATTAATTAATTTTTTATTGAAGTATAGTTGATTTGCAACATTGTGTTAGTTTCTGGTGCACAGCATAGTGATTCATTTAAACATATATATATATCTTTTTCATTATAGATTATTATAAGATATTGAGTATAGATCCCTGTGCTATACAGTAGGTCCTTGTTGTTTATCTATTTTATATTTAATAGTTTGTATCTGCTAATCCCAAACTCCTAATTTATCCCTCCCCCACCCACTCTCCCTTTTGATAACCATAAGTTTGTTTTCTATGTCTGTGCGTCTGTTTCTATTTTGTAAATAAATTCATTTGTGTCATTTTTTTAGATTCTCTATATAAGTTATATCATGTGATATTTTCCTTTGTCTGACTTACTTCACTGGGTGTGATAGTCTCTAGGTTCATCTGTGTTGCTGCAAATAACATTATTTCATTCTTTATATGGCTGAGTAGTATTCCATTATATATAACACCACATCTTTATCCAGTCATCTGCTGATGGACATTTAGGCTGCTTCCATGTCTTGGCTATTGTAAATCAGACTTACAGTTTAGATTTAATTAAACGTTGTTGAATGCTTTCACTGTCCTAGCTCCATGTCAGGCACATTTGCACATTTAATTGAATTTTCCCAGATTACCTCTGAAATAAACATTGTAATTCCTATTTTATTAATGAAAAACCAGAGGCTGAGAAGGATATGGTGTCTTTTCTACAGACAATCATAGATACAAGAAAGGGGCTTTAAACTCTAGACCTCTGACTGCATATTATGTACTTTTCTGATAGGCCACACTGTGGACTAACCCACTTTCAAAATAATGATTTCCTTTTTGAAAGGGAATTTGAAAAGGACTGTCCTTGCCTATCCTTTGCCATCTAACTTCTCACCCACCCCATTTTCTGTCTTATTTCCTTGTAGCATGAAACTCAGCCAGTATTGAGTATCTTCCATTCTCTTAATCAATCAAAATCACATGATCCCCTGGATATTTTCCTGTGTGTTACCCTCATATATTTCAATCTGATCACTTTTTCAAATTTGGAACAGTCATAAAGGCACAAGTCATATTTTCAAGAGAAGGAATTCAAAGACATGAGCAGTGAGACAGAATTGGGGGCCCGGGGGCATCTTGGTAGAAAGTCTGAGGAATTTCTCTCTCTGATGTTTGAATGAACTCAGAGGCCATCAGGAAAGCAGCAGTTAGAGAAACGCTGAGCCAAAAATGAGTATGGAGCAAAGTGGCTAAGAATATCTAAGAACCAAAGCCTAGTCTGAGAGGAAGCTGTCTTGGCTGAAGCCCAAGACTGAAACCCGGGTGACTTGTAAGACTGCAGTGTAAGGCGTAGAGATATTCTTGCTTTCTTTGGCTCCAAATAGTCTCGTTTCTTGTAATCTCATTATTTTCTTCTTTCTTGGTTTAACTTTTGATGGAAACTGTTTGTTTCCACATCTGTGAAACAAGATAGTGGGGACGAGTGATTCCATACAAGTGCCTTTAGTTTTAAAATTCTGTGATTTTAAAACCACTGCATTACTCTAGTAGATTGTGACTCTAGACCTAGTGACAATTAGACCTCTTTTCTACTGTGCAAAACTTAACTTAAAATAATAATTTATGTATTCCACCAAATGCCAAGAATCACGGAAGTTCTTTTGGATAAAAGTTAAAATGGTTTAAAAATCAGTTTTCTTTCTTATTAAGATTGTCAGACAGCCTCACCTTAAAAATGACAACCCAGGCTGAACGAACTTCTAGAGTAACTGGAGCTGGAACATCTTCATGGGTTGCCTGGTAATGGTTAGTGTTTCCTTGATGTAAATGAACTATTTCATGGCTCGTGTATATCTTCCAAAATCACTTTCCATCGGTTGAAGATGAGGTTTTAAAAGCCAAACAGAAATTTATAACATTTAATAACCAAATTAGTCTTTTCTCAAAATGCTAAACTGATTTCAGTAGCTTCTTAAGTAGAACAGAATTAAAAAGGAAATCTACCTGTCCCCTAATGGCATGTATTACTTCCAAAGCAAATACATTTCTTTACTGTCTCTCTTTGATTGAGACTAGTTTAAATTATTAGTTCTCATTTGGCAGGTTTTTTTCCGTTTACTTGAAATGTTTCCTAGCATTTTTCCTCAACTTTTTTCTTTTTACACCTTTTCCCTCTTTTTTGTGCTTTGAAATCTTGCTGTGCCTACTGTAGTTATTATTAAAAGATTGATAATGAATCAGGCAGCTAAGCTCGTATCAGTTGTGAAAGAATTTACTCAGTTTTCTTTTTTTGCTTTAAATATGTTTTAAGAAGCTTATTTGCACATTCATTCTTGTGTTCATTTTTAAGTGTTTGCTGAAGTTCATCTGTTTATCAGTGAACTCTTTGAGGAAGGAAGACATTGTATTATAGATTAAATTTCACCTACCTTCATAATTAATAAGCCTTGGACCCTTGTGATTATTTAAACAGCATAAGAAAGACAGTTGGTACTCAAATTTAAAACGCTTCTTTTTAAAGAAAGCTGAAGTCTGTCCTTTAGCCCTGAACAATCAGTGCGTTTCCTGATTGCAGAGTCAGGAAATACTTTACTTTTGAAGCAATAACGGTTATTCCCGGGAAGTTTTATAATTGGCTGCATGGTGATAATGTGGACTTGAATGAATACAACGAAATTACTGCTGGTTTATCTAGAAAGAAAGAGAACTTCTTAAGTGCGACAAAGCGCTATTGCTAAGGATTACATCAGTTTGGCATATTCAGTGTTCTCGGAGAACGACTCCAATTTTCAGCTGGCTTCCTGACCAAAGGTATCTTTCCTTTCTGCTATTCAGTATCCAGATTTTTCTCCTGTGTTTGCTTAGGTCTTTAAACATCAGTGTGTGATAGTTGTAGAATTTGTTTTCTTTTGAAGTTAGGTGAAGTGTGATTTTTACAATACCACTGGATTTCTTGGAGTATGATAACTTACTGTGATACTTAATGAATGAAAAACAACAGCCTGACATCCAGAGATTTAGTGGCTTTTTTTTTTTATTCTCTAGACTGAGGAATTGCTTTAATGGCTGAATTTGGATCCTTGAAGTCAAATTCTTTTAGTGAGACCACTGATGGTGTAAAAACAAAATACTAGCTAAAGGTGGCACTGTGCTTTTTCTAAATGTAAGGCATTTGGAAAAGGCCCCATTCATTTTATCATTTGTTGAATTGATTACCATGTGTTAATGGCAATGAATAATGTCAATGACTTACAATATTTCTGGCTTAATAATAGCGATGCTTTCCATCTCCTTTTGATGTACTTTATCTTGCTCCTATATTGACATTGTTGCAAAAAATAAGCCCATAGAAATTTGGATTTAGGTGAGGACTTATTGACTATCTATCTAGCCCCCTGCTTAACTGGTGAGGAAACTCTTGGATGCAGAAGAGCAAAAATTCCTGACAGATCTGGGCATAGAGTATATGCCTCTTAATCCCTATGTAGAAGGATTATTAATTCCCTTTTCATTATTGTTATTTTGTGTTAAAATCATGTGCTGCCATACTATAAAACCTTTGCCTTGAATTAGTATCGAATCTTCATCAGACTCTGAGATGTAGGCAAATTCTGAGCAACAGTGTTACTGATAATGAGAGTATGAAAAACTAGAGGAAGCACCCAGAGTGTGTAGCTTGAGGTATCTCGTAGCATCTGGAGACATTGCAGCCACGCACATTACTGCCTAGTTGAGGTGAGCACTGAGCAGAGTGGAAAGCCACAGTGTCTGTTTTGGGGGGTACCAGATCTCTTGAGTTTTCAACAGGAATTCACTAAACCTATCTCAGTCCTGGAGAACTTTCCTCAGGGTTCTAGGTAATTGTTCACTATTTGTATACTTCTGTTTGCTGACAGCTGTCACTCAATTTCTTCCAAGCACAGAATTCTTTCCCAGTAGTCACATGGAAGAACTCTAGCAGACATAAAATCACCCCAACTCAGTTCTTTACTTAAGAGCTTATAGTGTCATGGCAGAGGAGAAAAAGAGATGTTGAAAGATGCAACAAATATAAGGAATCAAGTTCACTCAAAAACATGTATAAATACACATATAAATATGTTAGTTAACACTGTCCTATAGGAAAATACTGTTTCCCCAAAATATCCTGTGTATGTGTGAGTACTGGATGGAGATTTTGTGTTTCTCTTGTGCTGCTTCTGATTAATCCCTTAAATACATGTCTCAATAGAAGATTTTAATGGTTCTCTGATAAATCATTTCCACACTATGGATCTTTTCCTGTCCTTTCTTTATCAGTATGTACCTGCTGGTATGGGCTCTAAGTGTAGGCAGGGGCTGTATAATGTTAACTTTTATATGCATCTTTCACAATAATGATAAGCAAAAACAGCCAAGTTTTGTTAGATCAGTTTCATGGTTAAAGCCTCTTTCCAGCGGAGGTCATTGAAAGCTGCATTTAGTCATGATTTGAGAGAAGATATTAAAGAATCTGTGTTTTATGGTACAGTTAAGAATTCAGATTATTGGAAGATTAAATTACTGACTCAGTTTAGTCAAGATGATGAGCTTTGCTTATATAAACTGGGTCATTAAAGGAATTATATTTACGTGTTGAGCTTTTCCCTGTGGCCACAAGAAAGTGTCCTGTGAGACTATAGAAATTTAGCCACTAATCCGTTCTTCACATAACAGCTCTCAATAGAATGTTAGAGAAAAAGTACAAACATGATACAACTAAGGTCAAATTGACTTTATTTGTGGTGTCTGATAGAATATAACTCTAATAATCATTAAAATATTTCTGATCACATCAAAATTCTGCAGGTTCAAAAAAAAAATCCTGCAGATAATATGTCTTATTCTACACTCCAGAGAGACACTTTGGAGATTTAGGAGCACCAGGGTTGCAAAATGAGATGAAAAGTATTTAATGAAATACACTAAGTGCAGAAGGAGGGAGTCATCTGTCTTAGGGCTTTTCCTCACCCACTAGAATCACTGTACTTTTTTTTGGGTTGAAGGTCTAGTTCACGCTCTGTAATTTTGGCCCTTGTCAGAACTGAAGGCAAAAAGCAAATGACAGGGGACTAAGGTTGCTGATCATGTGTTAGTACAAAACATCTGACTTCCCTGGAGATATGTCAAGTGTTCAGGGTGAGTCAGTGAAACTATAGCATTTGGACTTTATTCTTTCATAGGAAATACTCAACTAGCAAGCTGAAAATCTTGTGACTTTTAACTGTGAATGCTCTGGCAGTGTATCCCAAATAATTATGTGAAAGAGAAGGAATTCTGGTTTTAGAACTGATGCTAGAAGATAAGAAGAAATACCATATATATGTCTGAATGTGAAGCAACCTTGTGTATAAGATGCTCTCTCTTTCACAAAGGTAAAAGTTACCCCCCAAAAAATTTTTTTCCCCAATAACACATATTGAGGCTCCACTTTGTACCAGGTCTTATTCGAGACTCTGGGGATACAAGAAAAAATGGGGGGAAATATATCAGTATCACCACCTTTTGGGGCTTACATTCTAGCAAATAAATTATACAGAATGTTAAAAGATTAGTGCTACAGAGAGTAATAAAATGGGGGAAAATTCCAGGGGAATGCTGGCTCTGACTCTGTGTGTGTGTGTGTGTTTTGGGGTTTTGGGATAGGGGATGGATGCTGCCTCACAAGGGGACATCAGAGCATGGATTTAAATGCAATGACGAGTGAAACATGCAGTTATCTGGGGAAGGAGCATGGAGTTCAGAGACCTTGGGGGAGGAGTGTACCTAGCATGTTCAGAGAACAGCTCAGAGGCCAGTATGGCTGGAGCAGAGTGAGTGAGAGAGGGAGGGTGGTAGGACTAAGGTCAGAGGAAATGTGCTGAGGACAAAAAGATGTGAATCCCGGTGGACTGTCTAAAGTTTGTGTGGAGGATGTGTGGCTACAGCGTGCATTTAGTCTATACGTAGGACATATGGAGAGGGTGAGGGCCCTGTATAATATTGTAGGGATTTTGTCTTTTAGTCTTAAGGGAGCTTGGAGGATTTGCAGGTGAGCAACATGACAAGTTTAAAGAGGATCATTTTCACTTTGGAGAGTAGATTGAAGAGGGCCATATACTTCATTTATCACATTTTCTGTCTGCATTTAGTTTTTCACGGACACTTAGGTTGACTTAGGTTGTTTCCATGTCTTGGCTATTGTGAATAATGCTGTAATGAACACAGGGGTGCAGATATCTTTTCAAGAGAGTGACCCAGAAGTGGAATTGCTGGATCATATGGTAATTCTTTTTTTTTAAATTTACTATTTTAGGAACCTCCATACTGTTTTCCATAATGACTGCACTGATTTACATACCCACTAACAGTGCACAAGGGTTTCCTTTTTCTCCATATCCTCCCCAGTACTTTTTGATGATGTCTTTTTGATGATAATCATTCCAGCAGGTGTAAGGAGATGTCTCATTGTGGTTTTGCTTTGCATTTCCCTGGTAATTAGTGAGTGTTGACTTGTTGATGAACATTTGGGTTGTTTCCAGTTTTGGGGTATTGTGACTAAGGTATCTATGAATATTTATGTAGAAGCCTTTCTGTGGACATATGTTTTCAGGGCTTTTAGCTAAATCTCCAGGAGTGGACTGTCTGTGGTCGTGAGAAAGATCTATGTTTAACTCCTCAGCCGCTGCCAAACTCCTAAAGTGGCTGTGCCATTTTACATTTCTGCATACAATGTCTGAGCATTCCAGTTGCTCCACATCGCAGGAGGCACTTGATCTTTTCCATGTTAGCCATTCTAATAGGTGTGTAATGGTGTCTTCTCGAAGTTTTATTTTAAAAATTAAAAAAAAAATTGTCTTAATGGAGGTAGTGGGGCTTGAACCCAGGACCTCCTGCATGCTAAGCATGCCCTCTACCGTTGAGCTACACCCTCCTCCCACTGCCTCCCTGATTTTAGTGTACATTTTCCATGATGACTATTACTGATGAGGGGTGTCTGGATTTTAATCTCTTTAGCCAGAAAGTTTATTTTATTCTCATTGTTGGAACTTTGGTTGTTAGCTGAGGCTTATAATAACTTTATTTTTTTCAGTTATGGTTGGTATTGGTGTGTTACTTTTATTTACTCATTTTAATAACTTTTTTTTGCCTTTTTACTCATAACTTTTTAAAGTACTTAAAGGAGATGCTACGATTGGCAGTGGCCTCTTGATTTTGGGAAACGAATAGATTTAAATGGGAAAAGTATAAAAAGTAGAGACTGGCTGTCAGACCCTACATAAGATAAAGCATAAACTTAAATTACACTATCGGACATAAATGACTTAAAGATGGGATTTAAATTTATGATGTCAACTTTTAAAAGTACTCAAAGGATATGATATAATTTATCATTTAGGATGAGCATGCATTCCCTGTGATAATAACAGATCTAGGTAAACATAAATTATCTCTAAATACTTGACTGAAGTGAGGATTTTTAATTCTTTCCCAGGTTCCCGATGTTATCAGCAGCATAAGGCAGTTATCGAAAGCTGCCATGAAGGAAGATGCCAAGCCTGGCAAAGACAACGAAGACGCCTTTTACAACTCTCAGAAGTTCGAAGTCTTGTACTGCGGCAAGGTGACCGTGACCCACAAGAAGGCGCCGTCCAGCCTCATCGACGACTGCATCGAGCAGTTCAGCCTGCACGAGCAGCAGCGCCTGAAGGCCCAGGGCGAGGAGCCGGCGCTGTCGGAGGAGGCCAGCGCGCCCCCGTCCCCCGCGGACGTTCTGGCCGAGGAAGAGGATGGCGCCGCCGACACCCACGCCGCCTTATCCCCCACGCCCAGCCAGCCTGGGCCGTCCAGCTCTCGAGTCTGCTTCCCCGAGCGGATTTTGGAAGATTCCGGCTTTGATGAACAGCAGGAGTTCCGGTCTCGGTGCAGCAGCGTCACCGGCGTCCTGCAAAGGAAAGTTCACGAGAACAGCCAGAAACCACAGCCGCGGAGGCGGCACGCCAGCGCGCCCAGCCACGTCCAGCCGTCCGACTCGGAGAAGAACAGAACCATGCTGTTCCAGGTGCTGCGCTGGCCGCGGGCTCGCGGGGTGTTTCGCCGTCCTTTGCTAAACGGAAGCTACCGGCCCATGCTTGTTCCTCAGTTCCCAAGCATCCAGCTTTTAGGTCTTACCTTCTGGGAGACAGAGAAGGCAGATGGAGGAGGGAGCAAACAAAAGAAAGTAGTGGGGGGATGAGAGGCAGACATGGAATGTAAGAAAAACGGGAGCAGTGAAGGGAGAGGAAGAGAAGCACTTAAAGGAACGTCATGGAAGATTCGTGGGGAGAATAAGGCTCGCATCTTAGCATCACCAGCATCTGTCTTAGGCTGATTCTTAAATCTATGTTTTTGGGTTTTTTTTTAATGACTGCAGAAAGCCAGTTTTATAAGGGTTTGGAGATGTGAATCTAGGAGAGTGTGAATCGTCATGGAGGAGAAAGAGTTTTCTAGAGAGGAAAAAAAAGTCCAGAGACTCATAATTGTATTTTCAGATGAGAATAGACCTATTTTCTCTGTCACACAGAAGAGAGGTTAAAGAAACATCACCGGCTTCATAATTCACTGGATCAGTTACTAAATTAAATCAGGTATTAATTGGGGTGCAAGCTATATTATAGGTGTAAAAGGTAATTCTTAATTCTAAAAGGTAGCTTTTGAAGTTGTACAGGGTATAGAAAATGTCAAGTTTCACTTAAAAGAACCTAATTCTTAACAATACCTGTAGTTTCTTTAATTAATCCTCAGCTTTGAGGATTAATTGGAGTTCTCCCAGATTTGAGTTTTCTTGAGAAAAGAAGTAACTGTTCTTTTATCCTATTGCAAGGAGTCCCTGAGAAGGAAATTCCACAGTGTACCATGATAGACAGTTCCAGTGGGTAATAGTTGCTTTATCAGAAATTCATGGGTGGTTTTGTTTTGTTTTGTTTTGTTTGTTTTGTTCTTGATATCTCCAGGCATGTATCTAACGTGTCTGTACTCTTTTCTTTGGTAATAACTGAGTTTCCTCTCTTGCTTTGATTTGTTCTCTTTCTTAGCCAGCCAGAGTCCATGTTGTTAAATTTTTCTAAATGGTTATTTATTTAAAAATTTAAAAAATTTATCTGCTTAATTGCAAGTATATCTTTTCTGTTGATCATTTGTGAGAAAATATGATTATAAATTGTAACTGGTTAATTGATATTTATAGAAATCACAAAATGAGGAAAGGTTGCTTTTTGGGGTGGGAAAGAGTAATTTCTAATCTGGAAAAAAATGGTTTCTTATAAATTGAGAGCAACTTAATTTTCATGATTTCTAGATGAAACGAAGGAATATTTTTAGACAGCTGTCAATTGGGGTTGAAATTTTGATTGGATTGGATGTTGGCACACAAGTGAATATGTGTATCTGGGAGACAGCATTTGAATCTATATTATTGGTCAAGTATTTAATTGTAAAGTAAGATGGGTGTTTGGTTCTTGTAAGTTGAAATTACTTGGACTGTTTTTATTTTGAAGGTCGGGCGGTTTGAGATTAACCTTATCAGTCCAGACACTAAATCAGTTGTGCTAGAGAAGAATTTTAAAGATATCTCTTCTTGTTCCCAGGTATGTATTGTAGTAGATCATAGTATTTGAAGAAACCAACTAAGTCTTGTTCCTGAATTAACCACAGAATAACCACAGGTTTTAGTCTTTAAACCATTTTTTTTTAAAGTAGATTTATCTTAAACTAAGAGTGTTCATATATGTGGGTCTGTGGTATTAACCAAATCCTGTCCAGGTCCCTCAGGTATCATTTACTTTGTCCTGTTTTCATCAATCCTGTCTCACAGCGTCACTTCATCAAAGAGGTGGAAGGAATTTTCGTGGTGATGAGTTCCTTTGAAATTATCTCCCTAGTTGATGTTTCTCAGAATCTTGGGCGCTGTGTCTTGTGGGTATCACTGAGTCATGTTGGCTCTTTGTACCCTAGTAGGTAGTAAAAGGAGAACTAGTACTTTCAAGTTTATTCATGTAAATTTTGAAAAGAAGTTTTTGATATCTATCTTTGCCCTTTTTTAAATTTTTAATTGTCAAATTGTGTGTTTGAAAGTTTTAAAAATAATCTGTACAATATGTCCAAGGGCACTAGACGTTAAGTAATGTCCTAAGTACCATCATAATAATTTAAAATATCTAGCCCAAAGTTAGAGCTACTTTAGTTACGTGGAGTAAACATAGCAAGAATTTCTGAAGATGTTGGAATAGAGGGAGCATGTAAAGCTGAATGTAGTGAGGTTAGAACGGCAGAGGTGCCTCTGAGAGGTCCCTGGAATAGAGAGGCATTAACTTCTTTCCCAGCAGATGCGCCTTAGATGTACCGTCAGGGACCTGGACCTTGCCAAGGCCCCTTCCTATGTTTTAATGTTGAAAAAAACAAGACTGCCTTTTCTTTCTCTTTTTTTTTTTTTTTTTTTAGTTTTGAAGTTAGCAATGCCATAGGTATTATATTAAGACATTCTTCCCTTCAAAAATGACAAGCTTTTGTATGTCTTTATTTTTTAAGTATAGTTGGTTTACAATGTTGTGTTGATTTCTGGTGTACAGCATAGTGACTCAGTTATACATATATATTCCTTTGCATATTCTTTTTAATTTGTAGGCTGTTACAAGGTATCTTTATTCTCCTTGGCCTCAGCTAATGTGGTTTCACTTCTAATACTTTTTTTAATATTTGTTCTTTTATATGGAGACATAAAGTTATGTTGTAAAGATAAAATTTTTATACTCTAATTTTAGAGAGGCAGCATCTGAGTATAGGAAAATATATTGAAAATTTCTAAATTCCTGTTTAAAAGACAAAAAATTTGGTAGAAAGATTACTCAATTTAACTGAAAAGGTATTTATTAAGCATTCTTTTAATTACGTGTTTCCCTGCGGGGGGGGTGTCTTTGTATGATCATAAAAGCTCTGTGAGGGCAGGTGTCTTATTCTGTGCTGTCTTATTCTATAGGGCATCAGAATAAGCTGGGTTAAGACAGAGCTTAACACTCAGGTGTTCAGTAAATGTTGAATGAATATTTCTGCAAGTTGGGTCTTTTGCTAAGTGCTGAGGAGAGAGTGGTGTACAAACCAGCGTAGTTCCTGTTCCTCAGAGGAAGAGGTGTCATCTGAAAAGGCTGTACCTCTCCCTCCCTCTCTCCCTGAGCTTCCCAGTAAGGAAATTCACAATGCCCATTGAACATCCAAAGGGGAAAAAAAAGGATGGGGAAAAAAAAAGAAAAAGAGAAAAAAACCCAAAAACAAACCAAAAATCCCAACCAAACCAAATATATAAAACCGACAGTTCAAATGAGGTTTTTCTTTTCTTTTCTTTCTTTTCTTTCCTTTCCTTTCCTTTTCTTTTCTTTTCTTTTCTTTTCTTTTCTTTCTTTCTTTCTCTCTTCCTTTCTCTTTCTTTCTCTCTTTCTCTTTCTTT